AGGTCTGACAGAACTATGGCTTGCCCAAGGTCATCCAGCAGCTGCAAGTGGAGGAGTGGGGAATCAAACCAGGTTCTCCTAGATTAGAGTCCGTGCAGTTAACCACTACAACTAACTGAGACAATGCTGTTCTTTGCTTTTGGAGTTTTTATTGTAGTATTGGTACAGATACCTCTAGGAATAGGTTGGTTGCATAAATACAAATGTGTCTCTGAGCTATTTTTTTTAAATTATCTGCCAGACCAGCAATCAAGACTCTCATGGCAGTTTAGCATGTTAAATGGCCTGTAGTATAATATTACCAGTAGCAGTTTTCACATTGTAGTCTTTAAAGCACCTAAAAGCCATTCAAAGGGCTTCTTTCCCACCACGTCACAAAATAATGGATGTGCAGCAGCCATCAGCCCAGTAAACATTTCTTCTTTGTTGGGAGCAACTTCCATTTCTGAAGATTTCTAGTGGGTCAAGAATGCCCAGTTCACACGCAGCACTATTGCAATCAGGAGCACGTGATGCAGACCATCTAAGACAGTAGGCTCAGATTGTTGGTTCATGTGCCATCCATTGTTGCATTTGGTTAGACCTTTGAGTTGCCTCCTGGATCCAGAAGCTTGAGCATAGAACCATATTCGGATTTACATGAAACAGATGCCAAAGGACAGAAACATTTAAAAATCTGCATGAGCTTCATGGGTCTTTCAGTGAACATCCAGCATGGTGTTGTGGTTAGAGTGCCAGACTACCGTAGCAACACTAAGACCCAAATTTACATCCCCACTCTGCCATGGAAGCTGGGTGGGTGACCTTGGGCTAGTCATACACTCTCAGCTTAATCTACCTCACAGGGTTGTTGTGAGAATAAACGTGAGAGAATGATGTAAACTGCTTTGGGTCTTCGTTGGGGAGAATGGTGGGGTATAAATGAAGTGAATAAAACAAAAATAACATTGGAAAAGAAGACTGACATCTGCAAATAGCTGGGTATATATACTAAAGAGTCATCATGACCCATAATTACTTCTGGGCCATGTCCTCCAGACACACGTGCCCTACAGACACACATGTGCAGAGTCTCCTTAAATAGAGACCTGTCAACACAATGGGGATATGAATATTCACCTGTTGTAATAATGACTGGGGTAATGAATTTGAAGTACTTTGAGCATAAGGAAAAGTGTTGTTGTTGTTATAATTAAAACACACTCACCAATGATCACGCAGCTTAAACAGAAAGATACTCAATAATATAATGAAGGATACTAAGACATTAAAGAGTCCCATCTATCATACTTTTATTTTGCTGCTGTAAACACTGACCTCTGGGAGTTCTTTTTGTAATGTATTGAAATGATTACATGAATCACCTCATAGGACTCCCCTGTTAAGCTTCGAGCCAGACCAGGGCTCCTCTGAGCGAACTTCCTATTGGTCGCTTCGTAACAGCGACCAATCAGAACGATACCATTCCCTAGGAGGGAAAGACTCCCATTGGTCTTTATTCTAGCAATCTCATTGGTTGTTATTTGTAAATAGGCGTGGCTACATTAGCCCGGTTATGTTTAAAAGGAGCATAAGCTCCCACTGTTTTCTGTTCTGGTTTCTTACTGAGTTAGTGCTTGCTCGTTACTTCCAATAAAGCTGAATCACTTGCTGAATCACTGTACGAGTCCTTTGTTAGCGCGATCTAACACTTTTTCTATTAAAAAAACTTCTAATTGTATTGCTTCTTCATTGCTCATTTGATTTATATTCATCTCGTGTTCATTCCAAGTAATGAATTCATGACAAGCCTGCAAGGCAGAACAATCCCTTGCAACTTCTACTGTGCAAGCATCTATTGCTTTGCAAACTTTGAATTAGTTCACAGTTCCCCTCCAAGGGATGAGGGGACAAGATTGGTATGTCAGTTTTTATACATGGGAAAAGTGAAAATCTTTGGAGTCTGAGGGTGCGTCCACACTAACTGTTTAGCCTGGAATTGCCATGATTTGTCCCCTTAGTCTTACAGCAAATCCAGACAATGTCACTGGAAACCTGTTGCATTCCATTGTGTTTTTTCCCCCTGTATATTTTAATATCTGATTAGTGCTTTTTACAAAAAAATTCAAATGCAGTTACAGAACAAGGTAGTCTTCTATGGACAGTCAAAACGCAAGTGAGGTTTCGTAGGGCTACTGTCCTTTAACATTCCTTTCCCTTCCTTTTCTTTCCACCTTAATACATGAGTTCCTGCTTCTCTCATGACAAGAAGTACTCGACAGACACAAACACAGAGGAACTGATATTTGAATACTGCATCATGAATGCTGGGAGATAATCAGCCGGCTCAATGAGACCAGGAATTAATTAAGCGGGAATAAAAGAGAAAATGCAGGGAGAAAGAAACCCATGCTGAATAGGGCTTACTTACATGGTAGAAATATAGTAAGATCTTGCCCGAGAGAGAGATTTTTATGGGAAATTCAGTGCTATATTAAATGCTAGGTGGAACCACAGTTTCAATTCCGCTGTCAGCTGTGAAAGAAACAAACTTTCTGTGGCCAATCCCTCACATACAGCTGAGCAGATTAAATTGAAGACAATTTAAATCAAGCAAGGCATGAATATAAAGATGTATATGGGGACAGCAAGATCCCTTGGTGAGTCAAAACAGTGAAGTCACAAAAGGGGCCACATCCAATCAAGATGCAAGTAATAGATGGTGACTCAAGTACCCTGCTATAAGTAGAACAAAATTACAAAAGAAGTGTTCTGTGAACTTGAATGCACAAGAGGCTTACTGATTAAATTTACTTAAAGCCATATGGATAAAAGAAATGTTCATCTATTAAAGTATCAACTATATCAGTGGTTCCCAGCCTGTGGACTAGGGAACCCTAGAGGCCCATGGAGTTATTGCAAGGGGTCTGTGAATCCATCTAGCTTGGACAGGTTTTCACCTTCCCCTACCTGTGTCTTCCCCCTGGGCTCACCTCCATGGCAGCCATGCCCCCCCCCAAGTCTGTGTCAGGCTGTCTGGGTTTCATCCACTAGCCTGCTTGCTTCAGCATGGCCACACCTCCCCAACTGGGCCCACCTGCTCTGAGCCTCAGCTGGAGGCCCCCAAGTGTGCAATAGCCCAGGGCTCCTTGCTTACTCACAGGATGGCTGCTTCTTATGAGAGGAAGTGCTCCTCTGACCTCGGACTGAAGAACACTGGGCTTCAGAACCTGCCAGCCAGTACAACATTCCTGGACACTATAAGCAGAACAATTGTCATAGCAGCAGCTGATTAAGAATACTTTTATTTACTTTGTAGTCCTAGATATTATACATCCAGTCCTACCATTTGAAGCAGTCCAAACAGTTCAAGAAATGTAAGGGGCTGGAGGCTACCACTGCAGACAAAAACTTCCAGCCCTCTTAAGGTCACCCAGTTCCATGGTAAACCATGGGACCAGGTTTTGCCCAAGGATGGGAGAGGTTGACAAGGGGCAACCTTCTCAATAGTTTCTAAAATCTTCCCATTCCAAGCTCCCAATGCAGCCTTAATAAAGCATGTATTTGGAATCCTAAAATCCCCCAGAGCATTCTGGAACACAGTGGTATCCATGAGCCTCTGTGGGTGAAACATTTTATCTGGGCCCCTCTCCGGCAGGGTGTTAGAGCCACAGTCACCCTTCCTTTGAGTAAACAGTGGCTCAGGCCAAATCTCCCACCAAGAAACCAGACCTTATTTCAAAGTTTCGGCACCAAAGATTTAGTCCAAAGTGTGACTGCAGCCAGCAGTGTTGCTTAATGTTAGCCATCTTTGAAAATCCCCACCCCCATATCTACCAACTCTCATCTGCACTGAAATAACACATTCATTAACCATCGTGCCCCAGGTACAAATTTCCATCAGAACCACTAAGGACATCTCCCCCTCACACACACACACAATTTGGCATACCACCTTCCACAGAGAAGCCATAAAACATATGCCTTTTGGCAGGTTGGGTCTGGGTTCCCTGGATCCAATTTGCTTTCCCTTCTGCTACACAGCAACTGTGGGGAACATCGTTTTAAAAATCAGTGGGAGCCCAATTCTGACTGGAAATGTGGCATGGGTGGGAGGAGGGGCTCCAGCTTTCCCTGTGCCATTTTCCCAAGCCAAAACAGCCTGGGGGGGAGATTAATTCTTAACTCCCCCCTGGTTGCTTGCCTCAGGAAAATGGCACGAAGGGAAAGCAGAAGTCTGTCCTCTCCTCACAATGCAGTTCCAATCTGAATTTGGGTCCCACCAAATTTTAAAATGATGTTCCTCACAGCTGTTGTGTGGCTGCATGGAAAGCGAGTCCAGTCTGGATTGCCCTGACCCAATTTATCAAAAATGTTGGTGTTTAGTTTGGCCCTACAGCATAATCCTTTAAAGCAGGATGTAAGCATTCCATCAAAGTGTATTTTATTATATAAATCATGGAAACCTGTAAAGTCTGAATTTCACTAGCCAGACCATAGGAATTACTTTTTTCTGTTATACCTCTCTTTATACTGGGTCTAATAGATCAATTGAAAGTGTGTAAGAAGGAAAAGAATTCAGATTTATTTCTATAGGATTTGGGACATGTTCAGGCTGCTTAGAGAAAAATGTCCTCCCTCTTCCTGATATATATCCCCCTTAAAGGAAATATGACAGCTTTTGAGAAAATGCAGTGATTTTTTCTTTAGGACACATTTATGAGATCAATTCTACTACCGCATTGGCAGAAACAAATCCATTTATTAAACCATAACTGTTTGGAAGAGTAATCAATATGCAGGATGTAGAGCAAAACACAAATCAAAGAAAGAAATGCAGCTGCATTGTCTGAGTGCTTGAACAAATGCAGAAGTAAAATATTCCCATATTATAGGCACCTTCACAGTTCTTTTAAATAATTATCCTTGGTTTGATCTTGTTTTTGAGAGAAAAAGTGATTTCATGGACCAGAATATTCTGCTAGTGTGGGATTTTTTTCCTCTTGGCAAAATCCCAAAAATCAAAACACAGGCCTTTGCAGCTGCGGTGAGTAATCTGTCAACAGGGAAACCATGACAGCCTAGAAGAAAGAATACGAATGCATGAAACATCTAATTGTGGAGGGGAAAGGTTACTGCACACAAAATATCTACATACTTCATGTGTTCCTGTGAAAATGTGTTAATAAAGAAGCATACCCTATGTGCCTATGTAGGGTGCCTTTACTGCAGCATTGCTAATCTCTGCAGGATGGGTGGACAAGAAAGGGAACAAAAAAGCATGGTGATTGGGGGATGCAGTCTGGACTGTAGGGACGCTAGGAAAGGAGGAGACAGACTGTCCAAAACAAGCTAAATACTTTATCCACGATCAGCTGCATCGCCAACCAGAAGTATGTTATGTTTTGAAGTACTCCTAAACTGATAAAACCCTTCCCAGTCTATCACTAACCCTAGGAACTAGTTCAGAGCCTCAACTGCTTCTAGAGGAGAGAAAGAGCTGAATCTTAGCTGCCAAATGAGGACATGTCTCCCCATATCTCTGGATAATCTCAATTAACACCTTCATTCAGGTGCTGAATAGCATGGGGGACCTTTGCAACACCCTATAAACCAAATGTAATGGAGTAAAATAGCAAGTCTTCCAGCATCATGTTATGGAACCGGTCTTCTGGGAAGGTTTGGAGCAACTGACAAGGTCTCCTAAATTCATCCTGGCCAGATGATCCAGAAGGTTATCATGGTTAATAGCAACAAAAACTGAGAACCAGAAACACCAACAGGTCTCCCACTGTAGTCTGTCAGCTACAGTGACCAGAGCAGTCTCACTTCCAAAACTAGTCATGAAGCTAGTTTGAGAAGAATTCAGATAAGCAGTATCAATGAAGAATCTCTGGAGCTGAGATGCCAACATATGCTCAAGGAATGAGAATGGAATATTACAATGGGATGGATAGTTGATGTCATTGGGGAGGGGGGAGGGAAAGGGGCGGCTGCACACCTTCCCTGAACTCCAAGCGGTGATTTCCCCACTTGGAGATGAAGCACGGGCAGCCCCCAATGGAAAAACAGCATTTAAAGGGATCCTTTGGAGTTCGGGGAAGGTGTGCGGCTGGCAGCCGCCCCTCTCCCTCACCTCCTGCAAGATTTAAAGGGCCCATTGATCAGCTGGAGGGCCCTTTAAATCTTGGGAGAGGAGAGGGAGAGGGGTGGCTGCAAGTTTTAAAGGGCCTTCCATCTGATTGGTGGGCCTCGTGCTCCTGCTGATCAACTGGAGGGCCCTTTTAATGTCACAGGAGCTCCTCTGGCAGAACTTTATTGCCAGTATGGGCAAGGACACATGCACACATGGTTGGTTTAACTTCTTTAAGGATCTTGGTTGTGTCTTCAAAATGTATAAAATGAACAGTATCCACAAAGCTGGATGGGCGGAACCCCCAGGTTTATCTAGCATTGTGAGGTGGTGGCATAGAAGTCCATAGGTCTGGGTGCAAGAACTACAGTCCTGGTGCCACATCACAACTGTTGTGTTAGTGCTGAGTTTACTACTCTAGCATAGCAGCAGGCCTTGATGGAACCACAGCAGTAACAGTATCACTGCCCAATGCATCACAGCGATAGATTTAAAAGGTATTATGTGGCACGGAAATTAGTGGAGGGCTGGGATAGGGGCTACACTAGAGATAACTCATGTGCCATCCTGAAGGTCTCTTGACCTTGACAGATCCAGCTACCCCCGTTCAAGCTGAACAATATGTTGTCATAATAGTTGTTAGGGAGACTTTAACTGCCAAGTAACATAGTACCATGGAGTTGCTTCACCTGCGTCATACAGAATGTCACAATGGCTGTGTTGGCTCAAAACACTTTGTGCTATGAGAGCTGTGCACTTCTGAGAGCACCCGTACCATAATTGTCCATTTCCTGTTTTCAGCCTCTTTAAAAACCAGTGATTGTGGTGAATAGAACACTTCATCATCAACCTCTTCTGGCTTCCTGGGTAAGCAATGTAGAAACGTCCAGCCAGGAGACGCCACTTTCCCAGTCTAAGGGTTGGAAAGAAATATAGAATTTGAAAGGGAATGGAAGTATATGCTACTTTAATAACAAAAAACCCACACATAATATAACTAAGGCAAAAGCTGAAATGCTACACGACACAGGCTGCTTCCATGTGGTAAAAATTCGCAGCGTAGCTCTCATGGCTAGGGTGAATGCAGAAGCATTCAGAGCTGTAGTAGTACATCCACATGGCAGTTTCTGTGGCAGTTTCCCTGCCCTCAGACCCTTGTGAAGCAGAAAGGAAAGGGACACTTTCCTTGCCTCAGCACCCTGCAGCTGCCATCCACACTCTTGTGCGGGGGGGGGGGATTTAAAAAATCTGTAATTGATATAAGTGAAATGTCTATTGAATAGACCAATTTTTTTAAAAGCCCCCCAAAGCCTTCCAGTGATGTGGGGGGGGAATGGCAGCCACGTTAGGCTGAGACAAGGAGAGTTTTGCTTTCCTTTTCACAGGTATGGCTGAGGGTGACCGGTATGTGATACGAATGTGGGCACTACCTGCAAAAATGCCCACTTTCCCACCCACATGGAGCACAAAGGAACTTTGATTGTGATCCTTCCAGAAGATTGAACCAAACCAGGGACAGATTGTAGCAAAGCAGGGGAAATATCAGAAAGTGGACATACAGAAAGCGATCTCCCCCAAACTCCCCCCAAACAGTGCTGCAGTAAAGAAGCCAAGGTGAAGCAAAACATCTGCGAGGAAGCAGCCATAATCGTATATTTGTTGAAATTAATTTGGTAATGTTGATCAGGCTACAGCAATGAAAAGTTCAGCGAACAGTACATTCTGCTTCTGGTTGGTTTGCACTCTCCACGGCTGCTACCATAATGGCTCTCTTGTTTGTTGCTATGTTAGCCATAAGTAGCATGTTTTAAACAGTGTGCTTTCTAGTCTGCGGACTAATTTGATGGTTATATATCCTACTTCACTGTATACAATAAAAGCAACCAATTTGCAGAATTTGAGCATGTCATGACATACATGATTAGTAACAGCCAGATATATTTATGTAAATCTCTGTTCTCAGTCCAATTAGTACATCACTGTGGTAGCAAAGTAACTGTTGAAAACGTACTCCTTCCATTGTCCAGCTTCTTCATACTTTATTAATGGTCCAGAACCAGGCTAGGCACGTGCCTCATTTGCACTGGCCCAGCTGACCAATGAGACCACGCCCTGCAACATGTCTTGTAATGTATCCATCTCAGACTGCGTGCGAGGCCATTTCATCAGGCGAAGTGACTGAGCTTTGCTCTCAGGAACAATGGGACCAGCGGATCCTAGCCGGCACCTATCGGCAGGCTAGGCTCCTGGCCGAGAGCCTTTGGAACTCTTGGCCACTGTAAATAGCCAATCACTTGTGTGTGGGTGTGTTTGGGGAGCAGGGTTTGTGCACATATAAACCAGCCTGCGAGCTGGGTACTCTCGTCTTGTTCTGAGCTGCAATAAAGTATGAGAGCTGAAATCACTAGTAAGTCTCAGTACTTTTCACTGGCGATGAAGGTGGGATTCTAACTCCCATGAACAATGACCCGGACGAAGATTCGAGCACTGCATCGAGCCCCACCGCCGAGACTGCCGCAAGCCGCTCCGCTTCGCACCCTGGTTCTCCGGTCGCCACTCCTCGCTCCGTAACCTGCCCTGCTGACCCCGAGAGCAGCAGCGCTTCCCGCCTCGCTTCAGCCACCGCCGCTGCCTCCAGCGCCACTCCTGAGCTTCCCTCACCACGTGTAAGCAGTACGATGGCTAATTCCCAGGAAAGCATCGCCGCTTTCGACACCTCCTGCCCGCACAGTGGGAGACCTGGCTCGAGATCCTGGAGAGCTACTTTGACTGCCACGACATCGTAGACCCGGGTAAGAAAAAAGCCCATCTCCTGTGGCGTAGACACCGTCTTGCTGCTTAAGGACCTCATTGTGCCAAAGCAGACCAAGGACGAGTCCTATGTGGTTCTGGTGAAAGCGCTGACTGACCACCTTTCACCAAAGCCCACAAAGTTTGCCAAGCACATGGACTTTTTTGTGCGGGTCCAGGGGCTGGACAAGCCGGCCTCCGAGTTCTTGGCCGGGCTCCAGAGGGCAGCCACCAGGTGTTCCTTCCCCCACCTGGATGACACCTTGCTGAACCAGTTCCTTTTGGGTCTCCGGGAACCCAAACTCCGTAGGAAACTGGCTAGCCAGGATGACCTGACCCTAGATAAGGCACTCAGGGAGACCACGGACTACGAGAAGGCGCACCAAGACCGCCGAGTGCGGGCGGTCCATCGCACGCAAGCAACGTTCTAGTCTGACGACTCTGAGAATGAGGAAGTGCTCCAGGTCTGCCGCCGCCGCCCCTCCCAGCGGCATTGCCCCAGGGGAGCACCATCGGCCAAAGCCCCCTCTGCATTATCCCAATGCGCCAGCTGCAGGGAAGCGCACGAACGCCGGGGTTGCCATTTCAGGGACGCAGTCTGCCGCTCCTGCAACAAGCCAGGCCATCTGGCACGGGTCTGCCAATCCCGACGACAGCCCCAGAAGACGTCAGCCCACCAGACAGCAGCAGATCAACCCACCGACCTCCATACCCTCTCTGCCCACCACCAGCCGCACCAGGTATGTAACTTGCCCCCCGATAGCCCAAATAAGGTGCATGTGACGGTGCTAATAGAGGGGTCCCCCTGCAGCATAGAACTAGACACCGGCTCTAACTATTCCATAATTTCAGAGGAAACGCTGCACTCGCTCTGCCCACGGGGGGGACCCCCTCTGCGGAAGCCACAGGGGTTTAAGTTATGGGACTTTAACAGGAACCCTGTGGTGGTGCGGGGCTGGGGCAAGTTTACGGTGCAGTTTCAGGACTTCCATGGATAATTGGACTTGCTGGTGGTGGGGGGAAGGGTCTCCAGTCTGCTGGGACTTTTTTGGTTCGGGCCCCTGGGATTGACGATCGGGGGGATTAATCAGCTCCGGGCTGAGAATTTTGCGGCTGTGTGCAATGAGTTCCCCAGGGTCTTCGATGGCACACTCAGCTGCTACACAGGAGCCCCCATTTCCCTTGACCTCGACCCGGCTATCCGCCCCATCCGGGTTAAGGCCAGACACCCCCCCCCATTATGATGAGGCCAAAGATCGAGGTGGCGCTTGATTGCTTGGTGGCCCAGGGGGTGTTAGAAGCCTGTTGCTTCCGCATGGTGGGAGACTCCCAATAGTCACCCCGGTCAAGCCAAATGGCAACGTGCGGATTTGTGCAGACTACAAGTGCACATTGAACAAAGCCCTCCAAGACCACGCTTATCCAGTACTGGTGGTCAGTCACGTGTTGGCCACACTGGCAGGGGCACAGATTTTCGGCAAACTGTACTTGGCCCAGGCCTACCAACAACTGCCGGTGGATGCTGCCACGGCAGAAGCCCAAACGTCTGGAAGCTGGGTGGAAGACTTCCCCACAGCCCCATGCATGCTGCTACCACCCAACTGGCCAACAGGGCCATGTCCTGTGAGGTGTCAGGGAGCCAGGGAAAAGGCCTACACACAGGCCCAAGCGCACTGCCACTGTCCATCTGGCCACACATACATGGCCTAACAGCAGTCCAATAGTACCAGAAGGGGACACAGGAAGAGACCCACCACCATTCACAAGAGAGGAGGAAAATACTGGAAGACTGTTTAGTCCCATGGGAATAGGAGTCGGGAGGAATGAGCAAGGGCTATGAGGAGCTATTTAAGGCCCCAAAGCCTGGAGATAAAGAGGATATGGTTGCAGCTGCTCTTCCCTCAACACTTGAGGCTGCTTACTGACAGGACAAGGGAGGTGAAAGGAACAACCTGATGGAAGAAGTAGAAAAAGGTTTTGGGACAACCTTCTGTTCAGGTTGCCATTGCAGGACCACTCTTTCTCATGGGACCACTCAATATATGTCATTGCTTTTTATCATATGCTAGCCATTGCCACATCTGATCCAGATGTGATTAGGGCAGCAGTCCCACATAATTCAAACAGCAGTGAAAATAAAGTACACACAGGAGCTGTGTTAAGACAATTCCTTTGCCACGGCAGTAGAAACTGTAGACCTGCCTGAGTTTGGCAGATCCTTGCCAGCAGTGTACCCTCCCACACACATCATACTGAGAGGGAAGGGGGTTTCCTTCACCTTGTTCTTTACCTTTCTTCCGGTTCTCTTCAGCCAAATTATCTTTACCTTGTGAAGGTCCTGTCCTGGGGCCCTCCCTCTCTGGAGTCTCCAACCTTCTGGAAACTTCATGGAGTCAGAGCAATTCCTGTACAAAGCTCCTGCTACCCCCACATCCTAGCTGTGGCTCATCTTGTTTCTCCACTGCTGACTCAAGGCTGTCTCCCAGCTGATTGTCAGGCAGTGGACTATTAAAGGGCTAGTCCAAGTCAAGCAACAGAGCAGCAGGCTTTTCCTTAAAGGAGCCACATAGGAAGAGCTGGAAGACCCTTCACTTAGAGTCTCAGAGAGGTTTACAAACTCTTTTCCCTTCTCCTCCCCACAACAGACAACCTGTGAGGTAGGAGGAGCTGAGAGAGCTGGAAGACCCTTCACTTAGAGTCTCAGAGTGGCTTACAAACTCTTTTCCCTTCTCCTCCCCACAACAGACACCCTGTGAGGTAGGTGGAGCTGAGAGAGCTCTTTCGAGAACTGCTCTTTCAAGAACAGCTCTGACAGAACTATGGCTTGCCCAGCAGCTGCAAGTGGAGGAGTGGGGAATCAAACCCAGTTCTCCCAGATTAGAGTCCACACACTTAACCACTACACCAAACTGGTACCTGGATGCTGAGGGTGGCACCCTGGGTCTCCTCAGAGCTGCGGAGCCCAGGGATTACTTGGGTTCTCAACAGTAACATATGAATCTGACCTTATCTCTGAGCAAGTATCACAAACATCTCAACTGAACATAAGACAAGATACAGGATATTTTCTTTTTCTTACCAGATGTTAAATTTTGTAAATAACAGAGTTGGTTTTTAACATTT